TTATTTATTTATTTATTTACAATATTTATGTTCCACCCTTCTCACCCCGCAGGGGACTCAGGGCTGATTACAATGTACATATACATGGCAAACATTCAGTGCCAGTTAGACATACAACATATATAGACAGACACAAAGGCAATATTTGGATATTTCACTTATGTTATGAAAGCTCCTGCCTTTACTGTGTCTGTTTTGTGGACATGAAATGTAAGGGTTTCAGAAACTACTCTCATGTATGGAGGACTGAACCAATGGGTTTGACAGGCCTCTAAAGCTCATGTTTTACCATCATACGAACCTTGTGGCCTAAATCCTACCACAAATCCCAACTACAGTGGGCACATTCAATCAATTGTTTAATGAAAGGTCTGTATATAAGAAAATTCACTTTATTTAGGGAGACCCTTTATTATGATCAACAGAGTAATGACATTATTATTATTATTATTATTATTATTATTATTATTATTATTTGCACCATGGTATGAAATCTAGAAGAAATGTTATGTTCAGGAATTTTTATATAAAGATTTTAGCAACCTCTTTCTCTTCAGCTTTTGGAATTTAGTACAGATGCTCACTTTCATTCTTAGCATAGGATTCTATTAGAGGCAACTCAAAGAACTGCTATTGTATTTGCTAATGACATGTATAAAGTTTCTCTTGTGAGGCTGAAAGAAATTGATGCTTTTGAAAAAGATCTAGCTTACATGTCATTAATAATATACATATGTTGGTCTTTCCACTGACTTTACAAGATAAAATTTCAAGCCTTCAAGTGAGTGTATACAGGAAGTATCATTTTAATGTTAATGGCTGGTGTCCTATTCAGTATTTACACATTTGTGAGCTAAGACTTATTTGTGAGATAAGATCCATATTTTTTTTGGGGGGGTGGGGTTCTCATTTAAGAACTAGCTCCATTGTAAAGATTGAAAGTGCTCCTAAAAACCTACTTGTAAGCCTGATACTTGTGTCAATTGAAGTTTTTTCAAAGATGGTTAGCAAAGATATTTCCAAATGTAGCAATAAGGTACTTTGCAACAGCTTTTGATCATAAAATGAACACTATATTATTAAAATTCTATATTATTAAAATGCTTTTTGCAAAACTTGATCTGATATAAAAAGAACGTTAGATGTTTTATCACTCTTATTTATAAACTCATGTTTGCAATCTTTGGCTATAGCATTATAAGCTATGTAACACTGAAGCAAAATGCGAAAGCAGATTTTTATGATTTAAGAAATGAAAAATACTTTGGTTTGGGTCATCTTTTGTACCTTTATTTAGACAATGGGAGTGATTTTTTGTCAGATGTGTAATTCCTTTTGTCATATATTGTGTCATTCCCCAAACCTCAGCCATTTTCACTGAGTGCTTGAATGGGGAGGGGTGAGGAATGTGAGTTCTTACAGAAGGAAAACTAGAATCTAATATGACACATTTTCTGTAAATCATGAATGAGGGCATTAAATGATTCATGTGTAATTTTTTCAATAAATTTCTGAAGTTCTTATTTTGTATTGTTCTGTTCCCCTATCCCAAAATCTCTGTTATATTTGGAAGCTAATTTTTTAAATATATTTTTCCGTGGGAAGAGAGTCTGTACTTCTGTCAGACCTATATATAGGAGAACAGGCTTCAATAACAGTAGCCACAATTGAATGAGCTACTAGCACATTGTAATATTTTTACAGGGCAGTTGCCATTAATATTTAACTGTAAGGCACATTGTTTCGACCATTTTGTCTTTTAAAATGTATGGAAATGGTATTAAATTTAGTAATACTCTTGGAGAAAAATATGAAGGGAATTAGCGGTGGTATTTGTTTCTGATGTTCTGTGATTAGTAAAATTCTGTTCTTTCCAATATAAGATAGGGTTTATGAATGATAATTCTGGAGATTCTCCAGGCATTTGAGGGCCTTTGGATACCTTTAAAAACAGTGAGACACTCTCTCAGGTGGTCAGTTTTTTCATTGCTATTGACACCATAGTTGTTGATCCTTCTTCTCTTTTTCATAAAGAGCCAGTGAGTTAGAAGGTCCTTCTCACCATCTCCATAGATTAGATTAGAGTAAGAGTTAAGCAAACAAACATATAATTTTGAGGGAATCTTTGCAGTGACAATAGGCCTTTGGTGGAATTTGGGCCTTTGCCAGATGTTCCTGAAACTAGTCTTGAAAAAGCAACCGAGAAATAATTTTTCCCTTCTAACTTTTTTCTTCTAGTGTTACAGTTGTGAGGGAAGTTCAACATGGTATGGTATAATGTATTTTGAAAGTTGCATAGGTGTTGAGCAATTTAATCCTTGGCTATAATTTCTGCCTCTTAAGATGTCAAGGCTTTTGTCATAGTCTCTTCACACTAATGTGCTCCGAGCCCAAGAGAGAGTAAGTGGCAGTTCTAGCCTGGAGCTTTCTGTTGATTGGCGAAATTCTTGTGCCCTATCACTGAAAAGAGTCCAATGCTAGGAGAGTTTCATAGCTTTTTTTTTTTTGGGGGGGGGGGGGAGGCTACATAGTTTGTATTGCAGCACAAACTGCAATACAAATTATTGCATAGCAGTTCAGCAGTTAAATTAATGCATATGGAAGATGTATTTCAGTTTGCTGAAGCTAAATACCTTATAACCAATAACACCAAACATTTTAAATATGAAGCCTAAATTTTCTTCAGATTTTAATTTTTAGTGGAATTTATATCATTTTATAGGGCAAGATTAAATCTTCAATTGCGGTTTAATTTAAGGAGATTCCACCTAAACATTAGAAAAAGTTTCCTTACAGTAAGAACAGGTTGACAATGGAATGTTCTGCCTCAGAATATGGTGAAGTCTCTTGTGGAGGTTCTTAACAGGCATGGAGTACTTTGATTGTATGTTCCTGCATGGCAGGGGGTTTGACTGGATAGTCATTTTTGTCTCTTTTAACTCTATGATCTCTTGTATCTTCTTGTGAGCACAATACGAGCCCTAAAATATTACTACAATCTAATTTGGTTTTGCAAGTCTACAAGTATCGTATTTCATTACACAATAGTTGCATTTCCCCCTTCAAAAAAGGAGTCTGTCCATTATGAGGGGCAAATTTTGAGTCCTATGGGGCCTCCCCCAGCAGGCAGCAAAAGGAGGCCCCATAGGCCTTTTTCGCCCATGTGTGCTGGTGGGAGCAAGCTGCAGGGTTTCCTTTGGCTCTTCCCAGTTTTGTGCCATGTGACTGACAAAGGACATTGGGAGGAGCAAGGGAGCCCAAGGGGCACAGGGTGGGTGTCTGCACCACCTAAAGTCATGGGGTTTTTCTCTGTATTTTTCAAATCTGGGATGCAGCCATATTAAGTGGCTTTCCCTGGGTTAAACTGGAACAGACTATATGTGTTGTAGCTACCCACAGGCTGATCCACACTCACTGACCTAAATGGTAAAAAAATGGTCAGTGTAGATGGGAAAAGAGATGTAATAATTGATGTGTTATCTTATAGGACCAAAACAAAGCATTAGTCAGATTTTAGATTCAGTCCATCAGTTATTTTGAATACCTCCTGAACAAATACAGGCAGTTCTCAGATTACAAACATTCAACCTACGAATGACTCATAGTTAAGAACGGGGGTGAGACAACAGGAAGTGAGAGAAATCTACCCCTCAGAAGGAAAATTCACTCCTGAAAGAGTTATGAGGAAAAGGTGTCTCTACTGAAACTTTATCGCCAATCCTTGTTTCCATGACAAGTAAACTTTTTTTCAAAATCCAATTATCACAATGTCAGAAAGTGAGGTAAAATCCTCTGAACAGGGGCACAGACAGCAAAATAAACACCACAGAGTTGTTAACCCTTCCCTATGCTATCCAAAGCTTATATATATCTGGAATTACACTTAAAAATATACTTGTTCTGACTTACAAACAAATTCAACTGAAGAACAAACTTACGGAATCTGTCTTGTTTGCAACTTGGGGACTGCCTGTACTTCACATTTCCTTTTTTTAAAATTCTAGAATGGTGCTTCTCAAGTTATCTAATAAGGTTGAATGGTGGTGATTTCCTCCCAATGTGATAGTGATCAGTACTTATTTATGTCAATATTATTATTGTGTGATCTTAGCCTCCTAGAAATTACTGGTGCTTGCCTGTGTACTACCACTTGGAATAGCACTGCTCTAGAATGCACATAAATGGCTGATTGAAACCAAACAATATTCAAACATAGCTTTACATTTCAAACATTTTGGTGCAGGTTCCATGCCAATCAGGAACCTTTGGCTTTTTCAGGAAATTGTGATGTGTTGGTTTTTAGTCTATTCGCATGATGTACACTTTTCAAAACTCTGCTTTTGTATTTTGACAACATTTTAACTGCCAAGGCTCAGTGCTATGGAATCCTGGGATGTGTAGTTTAGTGAAGTGCCAGTACTCTTGCAGAAAAGGCTAAATATCTTGTAAAACTGTAACTTTTAGGATTTCACTGCATTGGGCCATGAAAGTTAAACTAGTGTCAAACTGATTAATTTTGTGGTATAGATGCACCCCTAGTCCAACATACAAGCTAGTACAGTATTCACAAGTAGTTCTTTTCAAACTTTTCAGTTTTGCATTAGTAGTAGCAGTCTGTTTCTTTACAAGACCTAATATTTCCCATTTCTTTAATATTTATTAAGTCAATTTATAATGAATTTAGCTTACTTTTGTAGCAAGTGGTAAACCTAAGCCACTGTTGTCTTTCAAGGAACATTTATCTGATACAATTATTTTCTCAGTGTCAGTTAAACCTGTTTTAAAGACTAAGTATGTTTTCATTTGCTGATTTATGTGTGTATGATTGTAGATAAGCATCACATTTTTGTGGTTTGTAAGTTACCTTGAGTGTTCTTTCAAAGGAAAGATGGACTTTAAATCTCCTATATTAGGGAATGAACCTGAGAACTGTGGGTTTGTACAACAAATTACAGCCTTTTCAAGATAATTAACTTCTGTTTTATATCTTATATTTTCAGGTTGATTTAAAAAACTGAAAATTCAGAAGAGACGTGAAATTCTCAAAGCGATAAAGCAAAAGACTTGCTTTTTTTCTGAATTAAGGGCTCAGTGTGGAGCCACCATGAGCGATGTTACAATTGTGAAAGAAGGTTGGGTTCAAAAAAGGGGTAAGTGTAAAATGAAATACATCACAGTAAGAATTAGGTCATTAATCGTTAGCTTTTATTTTTACTAAGTGATATGTTGTCATATATTTGTTTCAGTGATAAGTAATAATGGGTAATTTGGCTTGGACATATTTTAGAGAGAATGTTCAATCTATATATTTAAGGAATCATTCTGAGTTCTATAATAGTATTTCTTGTCTTCTTCAGTAATTTATTTGCTTACTTGCATGACTCTAAAAGCACAAGTAGTTTGGGACAAATCAGTGTCTTACTGATTTGCAGTCTATTTAATTATTTAGAGTATGCAGAAGTTACGCTGCAGCCATAGTGAAATAAATTGTTATATGACAAAAGGAAATTTCCACAAAATCTCAGAAAAACAATCAGTTTCTTAGACTTTTTTTTTCAAATGTTATACTCACTTGTTGTTAAATAAGTGCAACATTGATACTTCTTTTGTTGAAAAACAGAGCAAATTTGTGTTGTAGTTTTATGGACAATTATATTGTTTCTAATTTATTCAAAATATTTTATCTATTTTGATCCTTATTTGCAGCTCTCACTCAGGCATGTGACAACAGTTGTGAATGAGTCTGTTATAGGCTGTTTAGTTCTTATTAGGTATTGAGTCAACTAAAGATGGCATTTTGCCTTTTAAAAAAAGGATTTTGTAATAATTTTGTGGGGACAAGAAATCATACATGTCTTGATGCATTAAGTAATGGTGTGATTATCTTTATGTGGAATGGGAGCTAGTGAAATGTTAGAGATCTTTTAAAAATAAATTTACTGTAATCTAAATTAATAAATGGAAATAGGGAAAAATTCAGGAGTTGTGAGTTGTTGTGTTTAATATGTTGGGTTTGGGGTATTATGTCAGATGACATATACCTCAGTTTGTTTTTAAGAGTTCATTGAAGGAACTTGATAACACTTTCCAAGTATATATAGTTAAGCTATTTTGTTCTGTTAATTGGAAAATGAGGAAATCTGAAATTTGTAGACAACTATACTAAATAAATTATTTACTATGTGTATCTTTCCTGTAATTCAAGCAATATTTGCAAACCCAGGCCCATGGCCCAGATTGGCTCCTTGGGCTCTTTTCTCAGACCCTCTGTCTCACTGTCCTTTTAGCATGAGGATGCGGTGGCCCGCCACATCCCCAGGTTGAGAGGAGGACTGAGGCAGTCATGTGTGGCCTTGACACCAGCCCCAAGCAGAGCCTCTTCCAAGCCTGTGCCTTGGCCTCCACTGCCATGGGACTCAGCTGCTCCCTGCTGGCAGACTCCCCTTCTTCTCGGCCTCCACCCTTGGCAATGGGGGGGGGGTAACTCTGTTTCCTCTTCCTCCTCCTCAGCCGCCTTTCTCAAGGGTATGTTCCCCCTCCAAAAGTCACTCTGGGAAGGTGCACTGGTCTGACCAGGGTCTCTAGAGTAACTCCCTGAAGAGTGCTCCTTCAGGAGGTGGTTCACACTGCTGCCCGAAGAAGAGCAGGAGGGGAGGGAAGGGAAGGGAAGGGGAATCCTGGGCAGTCATGTGCCAAGAGGAGTATTTTCAGAGTGTGAGATAGTGTGGGCAAAGTTCTATTATGTGGTGATATGCAGTTCTTAAGGCTATTTTGTGTAGCTCCAGGTACATCTGAACTGAGTCCCTTGGACCATTCTGGTTTTTCTGGGGGGGGGGCAAGGGGGGGGCATGATGCAATCCTGTAGATTGAAGAGGGCCTCTGTTCTGTTTAATATCACAGTTATTAGTCTTTTAGAACTGGAATGAACTTCTAACCCATTTTGGAGAAGTTAGATCATTATCAAAGTTCTGTACACTTTTAACCTAATATGTTGGAATAGTAATAACAGATGCCAGAAGTATTCCAGTGATTGCGGAACAGGCACCATGAACTTGAATTCATTCATGTGCAATGCTTCCACATGCACAATGGAGGGCCTTCTTACAGCAACACCAGAGGCACTCCAAGTGGCCAGCTACTGGTCAAAGGACATTTGGTATAATGCCAAGTTTTATAAACTTTGTGTTTTTCAAATACATTGCAACTGTACCCTTGCTTCACTTCTGATACAATGAATAAAAAAAGTGTAATGCTCAAGTAACTCCTTATTCTCCCCTCCCATCAAAGAGAAGACTCTGTAGTCTCTGGAATATACACTCGAGACTACACTTACACAATGAATGAATAATAAGTTTATGCTAGTCCAGTGCCCCAACAGAATTCTAACTTACATTTCTCCATGTGTGTTCGCATTTGAGTTGCCTGTTGATTTATGGTGACCCTATCAATTTCATAGAATTTTCTTAGATATGTAATACTAGCAGGTAGTTTTGAAATATAGTTTACAGGACCTGGTGTTTTTTGGGAGTTTCCTACCCAAGTATTAACTGGATCTTACCCTGCTTAGTTTCCAAGATCTGACTCCTGCTTTTTAGGCTTAAGTATCAGCGGAATTTGCTAATTTAGATTAGCAAAGACCTTTCACTTTTATCTCTTGATAATCTTTTCATATCAGAATGTAAAGTTTGGTATATTTTATTTTTATTTATTCATGAACTTAGAAGTTATATTATTTACCAGTTTGTAAAGTTCTAAACACACAGCAATAAAATGTACAGAACAGTAATTCAGATCAACAACAACGAGAGCTTTTTCGACCTATGCTCCAATTCTGTGGAACTCATTGCCTCCATACATTAGAGCAATGTCGGAGTTGCGACCTTTTGTAAAGGCACTCAAGACTTGGCTGTTTGGTTGTGCATTTAAGTAATCAGATCTAATTTGCCAAATAGTCACTGTTGAATGTTTTTATGTTGAATGTTTTTATATTGTGTAAATGCTATTTTAGACTGTAAGTCGCTCGGAGCACCTTGGTGGAGAGCGACTAATTAAGAAATAAAGTGAAGTGAAGTGAAATAGCAGGAGGACAATAAGAGCTAATAAGAGCAGTAAAAGGATATGGCTATCATAACTATACACTATATCTATATAAATAAAAATGTAATTTTCATTTGTGGAATTAACATAACTCAAAAGCCATAGGACGAATTGACACCAAATTTGAACAAAATACACCTATCAGGCCAACAAGTGACCTTCACTCACAAGCAAACACACATATATATACACACACACATACACATACAAAACACATATACACAGACTGGGCCAAAGCAACGCATGGCAGGGGGCAGCTAGTGTAAAATAAAATACACTGTTTCTCTGAATGCCAGGTATTGGAGAACAATGGTGGCAGACAGTAATAGCCATCTTGACTTACTTTTAAGGGCTTCTCGGAAGTGTCTAGTTAACCATATAGAAAGATGCAATTTGTTTTCAAGACATTTTTCTTCCTTAGGAAAGGAGACAAATTTCAGTATAGTAACAGAAACTTTTCTTGGCTGTTTCACAGCTAAAGACAGAAAGAGTATACCAGAGTAATTAGGTAATGTTTGCTCCTTTTAAAAGAATGGGAAACAAAATGAAAATATAAAGAGTATTATATATTAATTAAAATATGTAGTTTATACTAATTTTGAAATGGTCTTGACAATCAAACATGAATTTCTTTATGGAAAACCTTTTCCTTCTCATTCCATCCACAATGTGCAACACTGCGTCTCTTCTATAGGGACACATACAAATATTTTGTTCAACATATTGTTCATTGTGATCTTCAAACTGCAGTACTTGTAGCTTCTGGAGTCGCGGAGGCATTGTTAGTTTTGCTTGTGTTGTTATTGGAAGTTTCATTTTCCATACTTGTCAACTATGAGTCAAAGATGGATTGGTGCATGTGATGTCAGAACCTCATCTACTGAGGCTGCTATATGATCTGTGGAGCATGGCCACTTTGAAATTTCCCACCTTGATTGCAGATGTGTTTAAGCAGCTTCAGAAAGCTATATCATTTACAAACAAATCAAAACAAATGAACTGATGATAATCTGTCATCAGCAATGTTTTTGTCAGAAATTTCTTCTGTTTCTTTAGGACATACTAATTGGAAAATATTACTGTGTGTATTTTGTGCATCAGTGTTTTTTTTTTGTTTTTTTTTAACTTTTTAAGCCATTCTACTGCAAGATTAAATGACAGCTGGGGGTTCTCATGCCAGTTTTTAGTCTGATCATTTAACCTATTTTGGGAACAAAGTTCAGTATGTTGGATAGCTGCTTTAAACTCCAGATTGGCTCCTCAAGTGGATTCACTATACTACTGACATAGAAGCCTGGTAAAATGTCACTTTATTTTACTTATTTCCAAAAACATATGAATTACTTAACAATTCTTGATTGACTATTACTTTGCTTTAGCAACACGATGTTCCATACTGCTCATTTTAATATTATCAAAGAACACTTAGCTCAATGTGTAATGTTCCTCCAGTAATAAAATGCTTTAGACAGCACAGTTTATTTAGTTTGATAACTTTTAATTATTATAACTGAAAGTAGAAGTGGAAGTGGAAAAATAATGGTTAATAAAATCCGTTCAGGAACTTTATACCATAGTCCGTAAAGTTTACATTCATAAACATAAAAGTATGAGGTCTGTTTGTTCTACCGTTTAAAAGATTATCTTTCTTTTTTCATTGTTCTACGTAGATGTGTAGGTTTTGCCTTGCTATTACACTGACCAACACACACTTTGGTTAGACACACAAATGTTAGACCTGTTTCTGGGTATATCTGAAATGCTGATTCCAAAAATGGCACCAGTTTTCCTCCTATCAGGTCTTTAGACACAGAACATGTATCATATACTAATCTTTATTCTGCTCGCCCATAAAAAAATGAGGATATTTTAATTTAGAGTTTAAATTCATATCTTTTAAATAGGAAGGAAACATATTAAAAGGTAAAAGAAAAGTTAATACATGAAAATCTACTTATTTCATACCAAATATCGAAATGTAAATGTCAGTTTTGTAAATTCAACCATATCCAAGAAACTAGAGCTGATCAGTCTATCCAAGACAGTTTTCTGA